TTTCTTCCTGCTTCACTTTTGAAAAAATACAATTAACTGATTATAAATGGTTACTGTTTATTAAGCCTTGGTCAGAATCTAAACATGTCCTTTAACCTTTCCAGGAACCCTGCAATATATTACTTGCTGCAGTGTATTACTACTGTTCTAGTTCAAAAATGAAGGAAACTGGCTCGGAGAGGTTGTTACTTGCCTATAGAATACAGTGCTAGGAAGAACAGGATCTTGAGTTTGATTCTAAGTGTCCAGTGTAATCTCCCAACCTTATATGGTACTTGTAAGCATCAGTATTTCTGCTACTTTTCAGAAAAATTACTAATTTAACCAAGCTAAAAACACAGAAATGAGCAAACAGAAATTTCATTTATTCACGTACCTCTAAGGAAATGGTATTTTGCTCAGAGACAGATTATTTTATTGAACCCCTACTACATGTTTACCTTTATGTAAAACACCTGACAGAATGGTCTAGGTTAGCAGGGGACTCAAGAAAGGCTTCCTAATGGGAGTATAAACTCAGACCTGAGAGATGGAATCAGAGCTTTCTTCCCTCAATAGTAGAATTGGGATCAGATTCTTATGGAGGACTATCAGCAAGTCAGTAGCTTGAAAGGATAACCTTTTAAAAGGCAATCCTAGAAACAGAAAAAAAGTGATTTCAAAAATTTAAATCATGATAGAAAAATATACCTTTTGACATTGCCCCTCACCTAAATAGAGATGGATTAAAACACGTGATGATAGAAAGATAAAGGCTAAGTAAGGGAAGGATAATTTATTTGTAGATTTTAAAAGTATAACATCACACCCATTTTGGAATATGGAGTGTATGTGTTAGGTGGATTTCTAAAGATGTCTCTCCAGGATTCCTGTTCCCTGGTTATTCAATCAAACACTAATATAGGTACTGCTGCGAAGTAACTTTACAGATGGAAGTTAAGGTTATGTTAATCAACTAACCTTAAAATATGGAAATTATCCATAGGTGGTATATGTACAGGTAGGCTCAGTATAATCACATGAGCAGCAGAAAAACGCAGAATTCTGAGTCAATCATGAAATGCAGAGAAAGAGAGCAGAAGAGAAAAGGGAAAACCAGAGAGAGTCTGATCATAGAAAGAATTTACGTGCCATTGCTGGCTCCGAGATAAGGGGCCCATATGCAAGAAATGAAAAGAGAGGGTCTAGGAGCTAAGGAAGGCCCCTAGCTAGCAGCCAACAAAGAAATGGAAACCTCAGTCCCACAGCTGCAAGGAACTCAATTCTGCCAACAACCTGAATGAGCTTGGAGGCAGATTGTTCCCCCAGAGCTTCCAGTAAGGAATGTAGCCCTTGTAACATGTTGATTGTAGCCTGGTGAGACCTGTGTTGAACTTCTGACCTTACAGAACCGTAAGGTAATAAATGGATATTTTTAGTTGCTAAACTGTGATAATTTGTTATGGCAACACTACTTCAGAGAACAAAATTCACCCTATTCATGTCATCCCACATAATTAATGTTATTTTGTTTATTTCCTTCCAGACTGTCAATATGCACCATGTGTTTAATTATAAACATAATGCACATATATTTTGGGATCCTACTTTTTCTCTTGATCAAATATATTTCTCCATGTTACTACATAGTTTTACTAATTATCACTTTAAATAGCAGTATAATGTTCCTTTCAGTAGATACAGCATGATATACTTAACCTATTGGACTTTTCTATCACTTCTAAATTTTCAGCATTATTATACTGCAGCTTGCATTTCTGTGCGTATGAACTTTCTCATATTTGAAATTATTGGAGTAGATTCTCAGATATATCATTACTGACTCAGTGGTATGAGTGTTTTTATGACTTTTGTTATATGTTGGCAAGTATTAAGTGGCTTACCAATTTAAAAATCTTTAGCAAGGTTAAAAGAACCATGTTCACAGAAATCATTAATATCTTTTTCAATATACTTTTCACCAATAGGGAGAAGATGGTTGGTAGAAAGTTTTAAATTTAGTGGTTCCTAATATGTTCAAAGAATTAATGTATAAGGTATTCTCAGTATTTTAGGGGATAAAAAGCTAAATAAAGTACAGTGTCTGATTTGAAGAAATTAGAGAGTGAAAACCAGTTATAAGGAATTAGTCATGTACAGTCAAAAGAGATATTAAGGTAATTCTTCACATCAGAGCCTTTTTTTTAAACCAACTTGATTTTTTTTTTTTTTTTTTTTTTTGAGACA